GAGAAACTGAAAGTGTAAATAAGGACTAAAAGGTATAATAGATAATGTGAAATAGGAAGAAAAGGGGCAAAGGGGAAGGGGACGTGGTAGGGGTAGGGGAACGGAAAGAAAGGAATGGAATTACTATGAGAAAATGGAAAAATGGAAACAGAGTCTTTGTAAAAAGGGAGGGATGGAGGGGTTGAAGGAAGGGCTGGGCAAAGGTGAAAAATAAGAACCAAGAGAGATTATGCAAAGGGTGCAAATTTCCAATGATGAATGTCAATATATTGTATACCTAAATTGTACCAATAAAATAAAATTTTAAAAAGTATACATATATCAAAACATCCTATAGTACAAATAAATCCAAATAGTATTTGTCAATTGAAAAATACATAAAAATCATTGACATTATAAATAAATATTTTAAAATTTTGCAGATTATATTTCAATTAAAATTATGGTATTTATCATTGTTTGATTTCCTTTGGGTAGCCCAATTTCCTTTTACTTTTTAAAGTTTTATAAAATAGTTCTATTGAATATTACTGATCTATAATAAACTGTGTGTTTTTGAAGTGTACAGTTGGTAGTTGTTGGCATATGTGAAAAATCATTGCCACAATCAACATAATGCACCTGTTCATGGAGACGTTTCCTTATGATCCTGTATAATTTCTCCTCCCCAGGCCTTCTCATTTGTTAAAGCCCTTTCTTCCAACCCTCCATACCCGCCAAGCAATAAAATGCTTTTTTATGTCCATAGATTAGGTTGCTTTTTTATGTCCATAGATTAGGTTACATTTTCTAGAGTTTTATAAGACAACATATACCTTTTTGTCTGGCTGATTTCAGTCAGCATAATTACTTTGAGATTCTTCCATGTTGTAGTTCATTCTTCTGCTTGCTGAGAAATAATCAGATGCATGAATATACAATTTTTTAATGCATTCAACTGCTAATATTTGGCGCGTTTTCAAATAGACCTACATGAATATCGGTGTAGCCCAATTTCTTTGTTTCTGAGATTCAGGGTTCTGAATAACAGATCTTCAGGGTCAGAATAACAGATCTTATGGTTCAGAATAACAGATCTTTATTGAATGATGAACAGAAAAATATGATCAACTTAAAAACCTTCATCATGTGTAATTGTTGGGCAAGAAGAGGTTGATGAGATTCTGCAGAGTCCGTTGAATGGGTGCAGCTGACAGGTTGTCTTGGCTTCAGCCTGCATTATGTTTCCTGATGAGGTGAACCATGTCAAGAGTCCCAGACATTGTCAGCTGTTCATTGCTGAACTCTGTAGCTGATTTATGGATCCCCTGAAAGATGAGCTCAGCCTCCTAATAGTGAGGACTTGGTATGAGAGGCTACATTGCTAATGTTCCCTGGGTATCAACCCCAAAGTTTGGCTGCTTCCTAGCCTTTCCATCGCAGGCTCGTTCAACTTATAATGTAACAAAACATTTTTCTTTGGCCCCCAGCCATGAATCTAGGCCAAACTGATGTTTTCAATGTTTTGCCAGCACACATTATCTGCTGCTTTAAAAAAAAAACAAAAACAAAAACCACATCAATTCAAGCTGCTGCAATTGAATCTGCTTCTGGATTTGGCTAGTCTTCTTTTGGAAGGCTTTAACATATGACTGACAAGTTAATAGAGGGCAAAGATTGATTGCAGATTGTAGATTTTATTTTGGCTTATTTACAAGTATGCTACAAACTGTAAGAGAAAACTGTGAATACAAATCAATTATTTTCTTAGGCCTTGTGGATTTCTCAGAGCTGTTTAACCAGTGATTTCCCTGCTGTAGATGCACTCCTGCTGTCTGCAAATCCCTGTGACTTTCTCGTCTGCTCCTGTGGTGTAGTTGCTGTGGAGAGCTTGGTTGATGCTGAGGAACTACTGGCCATAGAAGTAAGTCTTGTTGTTCAGGCAAAGTTCGGTGATGACAATGAGAAAACATTTTAGCACTGTTCTTCTTAAGGGACTGGAGAAGTGGGTTAACTCCTCCTTTGCTTCTGCCCAAAGTTCATTTACTGTAGAAGTGCACATTGTCAGGAGAGTAAATTTGGAAACTTGAAAATGTAAAAATTTCAACTTAATGACAAACATTTCTTTTCTTTGTTGTCTATCTGTACTGTATTTGTTTTTAATCTATTTGGGCTGCTTTTGTAGGCTTAGTATAGTTTTTTGTTTGTTTTTCAACAAAATTTTGTGATTATATGGTATATACAAATTGGCTTATAGAATTAGCATCTTTAATTTAATATTTTTTTCTCCAAAAATTCTTTATTAGTAGTATATGTTGTAGTATATAATGATCACATTCATCATGGGGAATTTGTACATGTACATAACACAACTTAATTCTTTTTTGTCCCTTTCCCTTCCCCTCCTTCTAGTCCTTCTTCCTCTCCCCATTTACAAAAGCTCCATTTCCACTTTTTTCCTTGTTTTTTTTCCTCCAAATCCTTCCCCTTCCTTTCCTCACCTCCCCCCGCCTCTTATTCTCCTTCCTATTTGAACAAGTTCTTTCTACTGCCTAATATGTATGTTCCATTTTGCTCCTTATTTATACTTTGGGTTTCTCGTACAAGAGAAACAATGCAATATTTAAACTTGTGTGTCTGATTTGTTTTATAAGCATTTCAAGTGCCATTACAAACTCTTCACAAGAATTTAAATGGATATCAAAGTCCAGTGTGGTGGCTCATGCCTGAAATCCTAGCACTCAGGAGGCTGAGACAGAAGGATCATGAGTTCAAGTTCAAGGCCAGCCTAGCCTATATAGTAAAACACTGTCTCGAAAAACAAACAATAAAAAGAGGATATCCAATCTTCTGTGCCCCACCACATAGTGGTGAATATTTTTTAAGATAAATATTTTGTCTGTATATCAAGATTTACCTTACACTAAATTCCTACAAGTGAAATTACTAAGCAAGGAGTATGATTTTTTTATAGTCTCTTGATATACTTTCTTAATTAACCACTAGATTGTCCCCATTTCTCCCTGCATGATTGTATGGGAATAGACACCTTATCCTGTGCAGTGACTGTTTGGATGCAATTCTATGGCAGGATGGGTTTTCTTTTCTTAAATGCTTTCTTTTGCAAGTATTTGAAGTGAATTTGCTCTGCAATAAAATTAGGAGAACTATGGGATCCCAAAAATAAGCAATAACATCTGCTGCCATAACCATGCAAGGCAATATAACTGACCTCACATAACCAGTTAGTGATCTGTTGCTATAAGGGAGGAGAGGGGCAGGGTGTTGACGGAAAGTTCTAAAAATACTAGAAACAAGCTGAGCCAGAGTGAGGAGCAGGCTATTGGTGACTAAATGCCAATAGGGTCTATTTGCCTTGATTTTCATTGTCACACCCAGAGTCTTGGTGCTTCCTCTCATTTCTGCCAGCCTGCAGCCCTGTGTGGGGAGGGGAGGGGAGGTGTGACACATAGCAGAGTGTGGTGCTTACCGCAGCCATTGAGAAATAACTCAAGGCATCTGTTTCTCTTTTTACAGCAAGTCATGGACATCTTGGGCTTTCTTCCTGAGGAGAAGTATGTATGCTATAAACTTGTTGGAGCCATCATGCACTCTGGAAACATGAAATTTAAACAGAAACCCAGAGAAGAGCAACTGGAACCAGATGGCACAGAAAGTAAGAATTACTTTGAAAACTGGCTTATATTTCTATTCAAATCTCTCATTCCAGGCCCATCCCCTTTGCTTTGCAGTTGGTCTCCATTCTTGGTTTTTGGAAAATATTGAAACTAATCATTATCATCTCCCTCAGTTAACTGTTGTTAAAAATATTTTCTCAACCACTATTCTAATGTATTATTCCCCTATTGCAGAATAAGCATCTCTCAAATATTATTTGAAGATGCTAGTGAATTTCCTATACTTATGTGAAAAGGGATTGACTAAAACTATGTACCTTTAGCATATACACTGTGGGCAAAATAGAGAAAG